AAAATTACACTGTGTAATTGAAGAAAAGTGTCGCGATTAAAAATAGGGCTGTTTGAACCTTTTCTTCAAATTGTAAACAATGCACATAATCAATATTTTACTAGGAACCCCCAAAACCCACATACTATTGGCTAAATTTAAGAAATTAAATAGCAAAGGAGAAATCATTTTTTTTACCACAAAAAAGGTTTCGAACCAATTTCCTGAAAAATTTACTTCTCTCCTTTGTGTCACTCTTTCAGCAAACCAACGATATAATAGTGTACGAATACAATTCATGTCCCAATACTTATGAACAGCGTTGTAGCTACGTAATAATCAAATCTACAAAATTTCGAATTCTAAAGTACCACCTGAAACAACTCGTACAAACAGCAGCAAACTGTCATGCATCACTCACCAAACTTTCGACACTTTTTCATTGACAAACTGTTCAACTAATACCGACAAAAGCTAACACGTTGAACGAAGAGGTGTTCGATGTAATAGAGTGAAAAGCACCTTAGAATTACCCGGCAATTATAGTTCTCTCGTAATCACTGGTAACTTAATCGTTTACTCCTCTCGAGCTCGCGTAACCATGAAAGAGACTATCCACCAACAGAACCCATTAATCTTTCTATCTTACTACGAACAACTTCACTTTGATCATTTTTTTCTCTTCACAATTTCATTGTTAACGGAGGATAATTGGAGATGCGACGAAAAAAAAAAAGAACTCTGTCACGAAGAAATATTTCCGGAAGAACGACACACAGAAGGCACCGGGACAAACTTACCATTACGGCAACCAATCGTCTGGGGACGCAGTTGACTACTGACTGAACGACGGAGGCCTACTTTCCAACTCTCTCTCTATCTCACCCGCTTATTTCGCCTCGAGTGTCCTCGTGCACGCGGCTCGGTTCATCTGTTCACCTTCCACGATGCAGGTGAACCCATCACTTGTCCTTTCCCTCCACTTTTCGGCACCTTAAACAGCATCCGGCGATGCTCCAGGGACGTACGTACGCGCTTTCTTCGTGTCGGCGATACGAAATAGAAAGGTCCGCTCGGGGTTTTTCAAGTTCAAGGAGAAAGAAAGTTGACGGAGCGAACCGGTTGTCTCTTCTTTTGAGTCATCATGAATGAGTGAATTCATCGTCGTATGTACGTGCTTGCATTTAGATTAATCGAGTTTCTATCACCATGGTTTCTTGGAAAATCTTCTGGTAAATTTTCTTTTCGCGAAGGAGGATTGTTGTTTCGTGTTGCTTGACACGGAAGGAAAGTAGTGATTTACGGAGAACGGTGTTTAATTTGACCCGAAAATATGTGTCACGCGAAATGATGAAGATGTTATGAAATAAGGTGTCATAATAAAATTGTCGTTCGTGACAAGTGGGACGCACAAGTCCCATTTGAGTACTCGAAGAAAAATTCAATTTCGCATTGATTTTAATTCAGCGTCCATTACAGACGCGATGAGCGACAGATAAATAAATTTTTTTTTGGAAAATTATTCGGTCACGAAAGGGTTGAGTAAAAAATGAACATCTATAATCAGGGCCGTGAATATATCGAAATATAAATAATTAAAAAATGTAAAGACTTTATGTTACTTTATATTGATAGTTTATGGAGATAGTTTTGTAATAAACTGTGGGTCTCGATGTTTTTAATGTTTTTAATTTGTTTAAGTGATTCTTCAGGATAGACTGTTGCTTTTCATTCCGCAAACACATTGAGCAAACAATGAAATTTATTTTTACTTTTATAAAACATAGTGTTGGATATAGTAAAAAATTGTTGAAAAAGTGCGAAATATTTCAAATGAAAATTAAGCTGTAATATCAGCTGAAGGTAAAAGCTCAGTGGATGTAGGTATACCATCCATCGGTGAGTTACCATGTGAGAAATTCCTCCAACAGACACTGATCGATATAAAAAAGAACACGCCCTTTTTTTCACTATACTTTAATATTTTTATTATCTTTCTACTGTCGTTCAACCTACAAAAGTCCGAACGAAAGTCTGTAAAAATAAGAATGATTAATTAAAACGAATAATTTTCTCCATTTTCTCTTTC